GAAACCCTACAAGCCAGAAGAGAGTGGGGGCCAATATTCAACATCCTTAAAGAAAAGAACTTTCAACCTAGAATTTCATATCCAGCCAAACTAATCTTTCTAAGCAAAGGAGAAAGAAAATTCTTTATGGACAAGCAATTGCTGAGAGATTTCACCACCACTGGGCCTGCCTTACAAGAGCTCCTGAAAGAAGCACTAAATAAGGAAAGGAACAACCAGTACCAGCTACTCCAAAAATGTACCAAATGGTAAAGACGATAAAATGAAGAAAATGTGTCAACTAATGAGCAAAACATCCAGCTAGCATCAAAATGGCAGGATGAAATTCACACAGAACAATATTAACCATAAAGGTAAATGGACTAAATGCCACAATCAAAAGACACAGACCGGCACATTGGATAAAAAGTCAAAACCCATCAGTGTGCTGTATTCAGGAGACACATCTCATGTGCAAGGACACACACAGGCTCAAAATAAAGGGATGGAGGAAGATTTATCAAGCAAATGGAGAGCAAAAAAAAAAAAAACCGCAAGAGTTGCAATCCTAGTCTCTGATAAAATAGACATTAAACCAACAAATATCAAAAGAGACAAAGAAGGGCATTACATAATGGCAAAAGGATCAATGTATCAAGAAGAACTAATGATCGTAAATATATACGCACCCAATACAGGAGCACCCAAGTACATAAAGCAAGTTCTTAATGACCTACAAAGAGACTTAGACTCCCACACAATAATAGGTAAATAATAACTTTAACACTCCAATATCAATGTTAGACAGATCAACAAGACAGAAATTTAACAAGGATATCCAGGACTTGAACTCAGGTCTGGACCAAGAGGACCTAATAGACATCTACAGAAATCCCCACCCAAATCCACAGAATTTACATTCTTCTCAGCACTGCATGACACCTACTCTAAAATTGACCACATAATTGGAAGTAAATCACTCCTCAGCAAATGCAAAAGAACGGAAATCATAACAAACAGTCTCTCAGACCACAGTGCACTCAAATTAGAACCCAGGATTAAGAAACTAACTCAGGCTGGGCGCAGTGGCTCACACCTATAATCCCAGCACTTTGGGAGGCCGAGGCGGGTAGATCACAAGGTCGAGAGATCAAGACCATCCTGGTCAACATGGTGAAACCCCGTCTCTACTAAAAATACAAAAAAAAAAAAAAAAAAATAGCTAGGCATGGTGGCACATGCCTGTAGTCCCAGCTACTCGGGAAGCTGAAGCAGGAGAATTGCTTGAACCCAGGAGGCGGAGGTTGCAGTGAGCCGAGATTGTGCCATTGCACTCCAGCCTGAGTAACAAGAGCGAAACTCCATCTCAAAAAAGAAAAGAAAAGAAACTAACTCAGAACTGCACAACTTCATGGAAACTAAACAACTGGCTCCTGACTGTCGACTGGATAAACAATAAAATGAAGGCAGAAATAAAGATGTTCTTTGAAACCAACAAGAACGAAGACACAATGTACAGAATCTCTGGGACACATTTAAAGCAGTGTCTAGAGGGAAATTTTTAGCAATAAATGCCCACCAGAGAAGCAAGGAAAGATCTAACATAACACCCTATTGTCAAAATTGAAGGAACTAGAGGAGTAAGATCAAAAAAACTCAAAAGCTAGCAGAAGACAAGAAATAACTAAGTTCACGGCAGAACTGAAGGAGATAGACACAAAATATCCTTCAATAAATCAATAAATCCGGGAGCTGGTTTTTTAAAAATATCAACAAAGTAGACAGACTGCTAGCCAGATTAATAAAAAAGAAAAGGGAGAAGAATCAAATAGATTTAAAAAAAAAAAACGATAAAGGGGATATCACCACAGACTCCACAGAAATACAAACTACAATCAGAGATTACTACAACTCTATGCACATAAACCAGTAAACCTGGAAGAAATGGATAAATTTCTGGACATTGCACCCTCCTAAGCCTAAATCAGGAAGAAGTTGAAACCTTAAACAGACCAATAACAACGGCTGAAGTTGAGGCAGCAATTAATAGTCTACCAACCAAAAAAAGTCAAGGTCAAGATGGGTTCACAGCTGAATTCTACCAGACATAGAAAGAGGAGCTGGCACCATTCCTTCTGAAACTATTCCAAAAATACAAAAAGAGGGAATCCTTCCCAAATCATTTTATGAGACCAACATCATCCTGATACCAAAACCTGGCAGAGACTCAACAAAAAAAGAAAACTTCAAGCTAATATCCATGATGAACATAGATGCAAAAATCTTCAATAAAATACTGGCAAACCAATTGCAACAGCACATCAGAAAGCTTATCCATCATGATCAAGTAGGCTTCATTCTGGGAATGCAAGGCTGGTTCAACATACGCAAGTCTATAAACATAGTTCACCACATAAACAGAACCAAAGACAAAAACCACATGATCATCTCAACAGATGCAGAGAAGGCCTTCGACAAAATTGAATAGCACTTTATGATAAAAACTCTCAAAAAACTAGGTATGGACAGAATGTACCTCAAAATAATAAAAGCTATTTATGACAAACCCACAGTCAATATCATACTGAATAGGCAAAAACTGGAAGCATTCCCTTTGAAATCTGACACTAGACGAGGATGTCCTCTGTCACCACTCCTATTCAATATATTATTGGAATTTCTAGCCAGAGCAATTAGGCAAGAAAAAAAATAAAGGGTATTCGATTAGGAAAAGATGAAGTCAAATTGTCTCTATTTGCAAATGACATGATTGTAAATTTAGAAGACCCTATAATCTCAGCCCAAAATCTCCTTAAACTGATAAGCAACTTCAGCAAAGTCTCAGGATATAAAAATCAATGTGCAGAAATCACAAGCATTTCTATACACCAATAACAGACTAACAGAGAGCTAAATCATGAATGAACTCCCATTCACAATTGCTACAAAGAGAATAAAATACCTAGGAATACAACTAACAAAGGATGTAAAGGACCTCTTCAAGGATAACTACCAATCACTGCTCAAGGAAATAAGAGAGGACACAAGCAAATGGAGAAACATTCCATGCTCATGGTTAGGAAGAATCAATATTGTAAAAATGGCCATACTGCCCAAAGTAATTTATAGATTCAATGCTACCCCCATCAAGCTACCAATGACCTTCTTCACAGAATTGGAAAAAACCACCTTAAACTTCATATGGAACCAAAAGAGAGCCCACATAGCCAAGATAATCCTAAGCAAAAAGAACAAAGCCAGAAGCATCATGCTACCCTATTTCAAACTATACTACAAAGCTACAGTAATCAAAACAGCATGGTACTGGTACCAAAACAGAAATATAGACCAATGGAACAGAATAGAGGCCTTGGAGGCAATGCCACACATATACAACTATCTGATCTTTGACAAACCTGACAAAAACAAGCAATGGGGAAAGGATTCCCTCTTTAATAAATGGTATTGGGAAAACTGGCTAGCATTGTGCAGAAAGCAGAAACTGGACCCCTTCCTGACACCTTACACTAAAATTATCTCCAGATGGATTAAAGACTTAAACATAAGACCTAACACCATAAAAACCCTAGAAGAAAACCTAGGCAAAACCATTCAGGACATAGGCATAGACAAGGACTTCATGACTAAAACACCAAAAGTATTGGCAACAAAAGCCAAAATAGGCAAATGGGACCTAATTAACTCCAGAGCTTCTGTACAGCAAAAGAAACAATCATTAGAATGAACTAGCAACCAACAGAATGGGAAACATTTTTGCAATCTATCCATCTTACAAAGGGCTAACATCCAGAATCTACAAAGAACTAAAACAGATATACAAGAAAAAAACAAACAAAACCATCCAAAAATGGGAGAAGGATGTGAACAGACACTTTTCAAAAGAAGACATATATGAGGCCAACAAACATATGAAAAAATGCTCATCATTAATGATTATTAGAGAAATGCAAATCAAAACCACATTGAGATACCATCTCACACCAGTTAGAATGGCAATCATTAAAAAATCTGGGGACAACAGATGCTGGAGAGGATGTGGAGAAATAGGAACACATTTATACTGCTGGTGGGAGCATAAACTAGTTCAACCATCGTGGAAGACAGTGTGGTGCTTCCTCAAGGACCTAGAAATAGAAATTCCACTTGGCCCAGCAATCCCATTACTGGCTATATACCCAAAAAATTACAAATCATTCTATTATAAAGACACATGCACACATATGTTCATAGTGGCACTGTTTACAATAGCAAAGACCTGAAACCAACCCAAATGCCCATCGATGATAGACTGGACAAGGAAAATGTGGCACATATACACCATGGAATACTGTGCAGCCATAAAAAAAGCTATGAGTTTGTATCCTTTGTAGGGACATGGATGAATCTGGAAACCATCATTTTCAGCAAACTGACACAAGAACAGAAAATCAAACATTGCATGTTCTCACTCATAGGCAGGTGTTGAACAATGAGAACACATGAACACAGGGAGGGGAGCATCACACACAAGGGTTGTTGTGGGGGGAAGGGAGGGACAGCGGAGGAGTGGGGAGGTCAGGGAGGGATAACATGGGGAGAAATACCAGATGTAGGTGACGGGGGGATGGAGGCAGCAAACCACATTGCCATGTGTGTACATATGCAACAATCCTGCATGATCTGCACATGTACCCCAGAACCTAAAGTACAATAAATAAATTAAAAAGGGGGAAAAAAAGAAACCTCCAGCAAGCCTCTGTTACCTTTCAGTCAGCTCCTTTTCTGCTGGTTCTGCCCATTGCTCCCTGGCAATGTACTTTTATACTTCCTTAGTAAACTGCCTTTATCTACAACTGTCTTGGTAAATTCTTTCACCCCATACCACCAGCCCAAATACCTGTCATTCCCCCAAATGTATTCTGTATTCTATATGGTTTTGTTTTGCAAAATCCCATTTCACTTGGTTATCTTGTAATATTCCTCCCTCCCCTCCTGCCCCTCAGGCTTGATTTTTTGAGGTGTGGATGAAAAAAGCAGCCCTTCTTTTTCTTGAAAATACCTGCAAAAACGTCACTCAGGAAGTTCAGAAGAGTTGAAAGGACTTTTAGCAAATTTCAAATACAATCAAGATAGAATCGCTGTGAGTACAGGGAAGTGGAGGGTTGATCTGACATGCAGGAAGCTCCACAAAAGCACAGACACTGGCAGAGAAGGGGGCCTACAAACAGCTACATGTGTGCATTTGCACAGCTTGAAGAAGTGTAGGGAGGCCATGTCCTGGACTAGATAACTGTTTCTTCTGTCACCAGTGTCTCCTTTTGTACTGAGCTCAGTTCTCCTCCCAAACTCTCCAGATTGTCCAGGTGCAGGCATCCGTGGCCCTCCTCCATCCTCTGGGAAACGGACAACAAGTGACAGCAAGGGCAGGCTATTTCTTGAGCAAGGCAGATGGTACCTAGAGAACAGCCAAGGTTTGAGTCAGGTCAGAGAGAGTGCAAAACTCCACGCCCTGGAGTTCACATCCCTCTGGCTCCAGACCTGCCCTCCCTCATTCTGCCCCCCAATCTAGGGTATTACCAAGATAGGATACATCAAAGGAGAAGAAATACAGATACATGAATAAAATCACAGACCCATAGTCAGCACCTAGAAGACACTGCAGCAATCATCTAGCCCATTAATGGGTGACAAAAACAGGGTATAGAGAAAGGAAGTTCCAATACAAAACCCAGGCCCAACTCGAGACCTTCAGTGAAGTAAAAGAAAGACGACTGACATTAATAAGAACAAATGAAGGATGGGTGTGGTTGTTCATGTCTGTAATTCCAATGCTTTGGGAAGCCAAGGCAGGAAGGTCTTTTGAACCCAGGAGTTCAAGACTCATCATGAGCAATATAGCAAGACCTCAAGGGTGCAGTGAGCTATGATCACACCACTGCTCTCCAGCCTGGGCGACAGAGCAAGACCTTGTCTCTTTTAAGAAAGAACAAATGGAGATATCTTGAGTGAATGATCAATGCTATGTTAAGGGGAAGACTAAGATAAAAGACAACTTCTATTTTCAGCATTATAGCAGACTACTCTCCCACTCAAAGCCACAAACATTCTAAATAAAATGTGAGGAAACTTCAACAAGTTCATGGAAATCATGGGGAAAAAAAGGAACTAAAAGGTTAAAACATAAAATATTGTAACTGTATTTGGAGATAGGGAAATTAAGAAATAAAAAATAAAAATATACTAAAAATATAATGTTTTTATTTTGGTTTTTTTTGAGACAGAGTCCTGCTCTGTTGCCTAGGCTGGAGTGCAGTGGTGCAATCTCAGCTCACTGCAACTTCCGCCTCCTGGGTTCAAGCAATTCTCCTGCTTCAGCCTCCCAAGTAGCTGAAACTACAGGCATAAGCCACCATGCCTGGCTAATTTTTGTATATTTAGTAGAGACAAGGTTTCACCATGTTGACCAGGCCGGTCTTGAACTCCTGACCTCAGCCTCCCAAAGTGCTGGGATGACAGGCATGAGCCAGCGGCACTTGGCTGTGTGTGTGTGTGTGTGTGTGTGTGTGTGTGTGTATTGTACTGCAGTTGTATCACTGCAATCCAACCTGGGCAACAGAGCAAGACTCTGTCTCTTAAAAAAAAAAAAAAAAAACACAGAGACAGGAATAGATAGCCTTAAGAGAAAGGTTAGTCGAAGGGACACTCTACAAATTTGAAAGAGTTTGGTTCTAAGTCAAGAAGGATAAGAACAGGAAGGCAAAGGATGGGGTTGAAGCTCCAGAGCAGTGCCTTCCAGTAGAACGTTCTGCAGAGAAGGAAATTTCTCTGTCTGCACTGTCCAATATGACAGTTGTCCTATGGCCACTGGACACATGTGGTTATTGAACACTGGTAATGTGGCTAGTATGATTGAAGAACTGAATTCGTAAGTTTTTATTTTATTTTAGAGACTGAGTCTTAGCCGGGCACGGTGGCTCACACCTGTAATCCTAGCACTTTGGGATGCCAAGGTGGGTGGATCACCTGAGGTCAGGAGTTCAAGACCAGCCTGGCCATCATGGTGAAACCCCATCTTAAAAAAAAAAAAGAAAGAAAGACTGAGTCTTGCTCTGTCACCCAGGCTGGAGTGCAACCTCTGCAGTTAGTCTCAGCTAACTGCAACCTCTGCATCCTGGGTTCAAGCAATTCTCCTGCCTCAGCCTCCCAAGCAGCTGAGATTACAGGCATGTGCCACCATGCTTAGCTAATTGTTTTAGATGGAGTCTCACTCTGTTCCCCAGGTTGGAGTGCAGTGGCACAATCTCAGCTCACTGCAATCTCCGCTTCTTGGGTTCAAGCAGTTCTCTGCCTCAGCCTCCTGAGTAGCTGGGATTACAGGCACACACCACCATGCCTGGCTAATTTTTGTATTTTTAGTAGAGAAGGGGTTTCACTATTTTGACCAAACTGGTCTTCAACTCCTGACCCCATGATCTACCCACCCCGGCGTCCCAAAGCGCTGGGATTACAGGTGTAAGCCACCACCCCTGGCCCTAAATTTTGTGTTTTAGTAGAGGTGGGGTTGGCCATGTTGGCAAAGGTTGGTCTCAAACTCCTTGCCTCAAGTGATCCGTCCACCTCAACTTCCTGAAGTACTTCGATTACAGGTGTGAGCCACCATACCCGGCCAATAACTATTTTAATTAACTCAAGTTAAATAGCCATGTGTAGCTGGCGGCTGCAGTTTAGAACAGTGCAACTCTAGAGAATCCAAAGGGAGGGCCTCCACAAGACAGGCTCCTAAATCCAGACCGAGGACAAGAAGCAGGGCACTGTTCCCTGGACACTCACCAGCCACTATGAACAGAAAGACGTCGAAGCCCAGCACATAGTAAGGCCACAGCACGGAGAACTGCAGGTGGCCGAGCTTCATCCTCAGAGCCCGGATCTCCAGGGCATGCAGCACCAAGGCCAGGAGGGCACAGACCGCTGCAGGGTTACAGGGAGACACCCTGGCTCTTCTCCCATGCTGCCCGCCTTCCCTCCAAACTTCACCCCCTGTAGCTCCTGCCTGGAAGTTCCTTCATACTTGCCCCCTCTCTGAAAAAAAATCTCCCACCCTATAGGCCTGTCCTTCCTTCCTTTCCGACTCATCTTGAAAGCCTGTGTGCCTCATGTCCCAGGAAATTATCATCAGAACTCCCTTTCCTAGCACCCTCTGCATCTGCCCCTAGCTCACTTCAGGTTGCACCCTCTGGGTTTGACGCTTTGGATTAAATGCAACTCAGTTTTCCTACTGCATGTGCTCTACCTCCATCATTTGCCTGGGAGCCTCTCAGGATGGAGCCTGGGTCAGCCTTTATAAATGTCAAAAGGGGCCAGGTGCAGTGGCTCATGCCTGTAATCTCAACAATTGGGAGGCTGAAGCAGGAAGATCACTTGACACCAGGAGTTCGAGGCCATCCTGGGCAACATAGCGAGATCCCCATTTCTACAAAAACAAATTAAAAAATTGTTTAAGGTGGTGTGTGCCTGCAGTCCCAGCTACTTGGAAGGCTGAGGTGGGAGGATCACTTGAGCCCAGGAGGTTGAGGCTGCAGTGAGCTATGAGTGCACCACTGCTCTCCAGCCTAGGCAACAATGAGACTCTGTCTCTATAAAGAAAAGTTATGCCTCTCTTGACATCACAGAGACTGAGCACCCCCCTTTCTCTGGACTCCTCCCCAGGCCCTGGCAAAGGTCAGGGATCACCTGGCTGTCCCACACCTGTGAAGAAGCTGATGAAGGCTAACACAAAGTTTTGCTTCCAGGTCCTCGGGAAGAACTTGGCTGCGAAGGGAACCATGAAGAAGGTGGTGAGGAAAGCCAGGATAATTGCAGAGAACAGGAAAACCCGTCCGAGGAGGATGTAAACTGCAGGGGAGGAGAAGCAGGGCTGAAGCTGGGAACCCTGACCCAAAAAGGACAGAGTCCCACAGAACCTGGGCAGAGCTGGCCCCCGGACCCTCCACCACCCTCGGGTCCCAAAGCATGGCCTTGGGACCAAGGTTGTGACCATGCCACTTTGGCTCCAGGAATGCTCTGGCCCCACAATTTGAATCCCAATGACATAGAAATATATGAAAAAAAATTAAATTGACAATGTTAGACGCTGAAATCATCAGTTCTTAATAAATATTTTTTCTTTTTTTGAAACAGGGTCTCGCCTTATCACCCCAGCTGGAGTGCGGTGGTGTGATCTCGGCTCACTGTAACTTCGACTTCACAGGCTCCAGCAATCCTCCTGCCTCAGCCTCCAGAGTAGCTGGGACTATAGGTGTGCACCACCACACCTACCTAATTTTTTTTACTTCTGTGTTTTGTAGAAACAGGATCTTTCTCTGTGGTCCAAGCTAGAGTGCAGTGGCACCATCATAGCTCACAGCAGCCTCAATCTCCTGGGCTCCAGCGATCCTCCCATCTTGGCCTCCCAAAGTGCTGGGATGACAGGTGTGAGCCACTATGCCTGGCCTTAACAAATATTATTATGTGAACTTGGAAAACCATGTATCATCCACTAGGGGGAAATGGTGGTTTTAAAAAGCAACACAAAATCGGTCTCTCATGATAAAATTTGTTGCACGTGCAAATGTGAAGAATCACACCTGTATTGATTACCCCGAAATAACTCACCTGTGGAAAATTAGCACTTCGTGAGGTCAAAACATTCTGAACTCTCAAAGAATCCCCACACCCTTATTTAATTTTCCTAGTTAACAGGAGTGAGACTGGGTGTGATGGCTCATGCCTGTAATCTCAGCACTTTGGGAGGCTGACGTGGTAGGATTGCCTGAGGTCAGGAGTTGGAGACCAGCCTGGGCCACATAGTAAGACCCCATCTCTACAAGAAATGTAAAAAGTTGGGCATGGTAGGGCACACCTGTAGTCCCAGCTACTTGGGAGGCTGAGGCAGGAGGATCACTTGAGCTGAGGAAGTAGAGGCTGCAGTGATCTGTGATCATGCCAGCCTGGACAACAGAGCAAGATCCTGTTTCTACAAAACATAAAATTTAAAAATTATCTGGGAGCTGTGGTGTGCACCTGTAGTCCCAACGACTCAGGAGGCTGAGGTGGGAGGATCGCTTGAACCCAGGAGTTAGAGGCTACAGTGAGCCATGATCATGCCACTGCACTTCAGCGTGGGCAACAGAGTGAGACCCCATCTTTAAAAACAACAACGACAACAGGAGTAGTGAAACAAACCAAAATTGGCAGAGCCAGAGTCTGGTAACAAGGTGATTTGTTCTCCAACTGCTGGCATGACACAGACCCATGTGAAAATGAGTTTGCATGTCCTCCCAAGCTGGCAGCGATGGGCAGCTGGCAGTGGGACCAGGAGTCAAGTTACTATTGAAGTCCCAGGTATCCCAGAGTCTACCCTGGGTTAACCAAGCCTGGTTAATTTTGGGGGTTTTTTTGAGACAGGTTCTCACTCTGTCCCCTCAGGCTGGAGTGCAGTGGCATGATCACAGCTCACTGTAGCCTTGAACTCCTGGGCTCAAGCGGGAGTCCTCCAACCTCAGCTTCTTGAGTAGCTGGGACTACAAGTACATGCCACCATGCTCAGCTATTTTTTTTTTTTTCATTTTTGTAGCAACAGTGTTTGGCTATGTTGCCCAGGCTGGTCCCGAATTCCTGGCCTCAGCAATTCTCTCACTTCAGCCTCCCAAAGTGCAAGCCACTACGTCTAGCCCTGAGTTAATCAGATTTTGTCCTCAGATTTCAGTGTTTGACATTGTCAAATTAATTTTTTTCAGATTTCTGTTCTTTCACCCCCCACCTCTGTCCCCATACTGTCCCCATCTCCCTCTTCCCCATCCCCGCCTCCATCCCTCCTTACTGGATAAGGGTCGAGGCTTCCAGCATTTGACATGGAAGCAGTTCTCAAACGGACCACTGAAAAAGACTTCATGGGACTCCTTGTTCACAAGCCGCACCCAGAAGGGAAAGATGGAGACCACCACTATGAGCAGGTAGCCTAGGGAGGTCAAGGCTGGGACCATGACCCGGGAGAATCCCTTCATGTCCTAGTCCTCCAACATCAGCAACACCTGCGTAAGAGAAAAGTGATAGCAGAGGTGGGACTCTGATCCGATTTCTCCTATAGCACAGAGTGAAGGAGATGACGGCTGGGGAAGTGTCAGTGCTGTATATGGCGCATATGTGAGGCTCCACAAATGACTACTTTTTTTTTTTTGAGACGGCGTTTCACTGTTGTTACCCAGACTGGAGTGCAATGGCATGATCTTAGCTCACCACAACCTCCGCCTTCTGGATTCAGGCAATTCTCCTGCCTCAGCCTCCCAAGTAGCTGGACTACAGGCGCGCACCACCATGCCCAGCTAATTTTTGTATTTTTAGTAGAGACGGGGTTTCATCTTGTTGACCAGGATGGTCTCGATCTCTTGACCTCGTGATCCACCCGCCTCAGCCTCCCGAAGTGCTGGGATTACAGGCGTGAGCCACCGCGCCCGGCTAAATGACTATTTCTTTGCTTAACTTTACAGTCTACGCACCTCTGCAACAGACCTAAAAAAATGCATAAAACGTTTTCTGCCGCTAAATCACTGGGTGATCTTGGGCATGTCAGGTTCCCTTTTTGAGTCCCAATTTCTTCCTCTGGTAAAGTGAGGAGGGTGAACTGGACCCTTTGCAAGGCCTCTTCAGCTTTAAAGTTCTAAACTTTCAGCTGGTTGTGGAGGCTCATTGCAATTCCAACACTTTGGGAGCCTGAGGCAGGTGGATGGCTTGAGTCCAGGCATTCAAGACCAGCCTGGTCAACATCTCTACTCAAAATTAGCCAGGTGTGGTGGTGCACGCCTGTAGTCCCAGCTACTCAGGAGGCTGAGGTTAGAGGATCACCTAAGCCCAGGAAGGTCAAGGTTGCAGTGAACCATGATCATACCATTGCCCTCCAGCCTGGGTGGAGCAAGACCCTGTCTCAAAAAAAATTTTTTTTAACTTAAATAATTTTAAAAATTCAAAAAAAAAAAAAAAAAAAAACTGAAGTTCTAAGCTTTCGGTTCTATCAACAGCACCCCTACTGGCCATCAAAAGGACAACTCCACTCTCTTTTGCAGTCAACTGTCTTCCTTTTGGGATTTCAGACTGAGAACCAAGGTGTTGGGAATAGATGGAAACAGATGCTTGGTGCCACAGAGAAAAATTAGCACTGAGACAAAGGATCTTTTGGCAATGCAATTTTACTTCCTAGACTGCAGGAAGGGTAACCTCGCTAGCCATCTTGCAACAAGAGTACAATGAATAAAGGAATACACATACATTTATCCCTTACACATTTGGGGCCGTCCTTATTGCTGTGTCTGATCTCTGTTGGCTGGAGCCAGACCTCACAATTTAAACTAAAACCTGATTGGCTAACAACTTAAAACTTTTCTGAACAGGTAAAAGCAATGGAGAGCTGGGACATGCCTGTGAGCAAATCCAGCACAGATACCTTGGTTAAAGTACAAGGACATAGAACGTAATATGTGCCTGTAAGCATGGCATGTCTAACAGCTACATAGGATAGGGCTTAACAAAGAGTTACTAGCACAATTATTCTTTAACAAGAAAGGAAACTTTAAAAAGGAGGTTTTCTACTTCCCACACAAAGGGAGATGGTAAGACCAGACCCTTAGGTGCCCTTACTCAGTGACTGGCCTTCTGACCACAGGGAACCATGGGTTTATATGGGGAGGGGTCCATCTGGCCAGGAGAGCCCTCTGCTGAGAAATGAGCAGGTCATGTGCTTACAGGAAGTTTTTACAAAGAGTTCTGGTGTTTCATAGAGCCCCTGCTGCCCGGGCCCTCAGTGAAGGATCCCTGTCACATGGAGTTCCTCACCCAAACCCATCTTCTCTTTCATCACCATCTGTCACTAAGATGTCTCCTTTTGTGGCCAGTCACTGGTGGCTCATGCCTATAATCCCAGCACTTTGGAAGACTGTGGTGGGAGGATCGCTTAAACTCAGGAGTTTTGAGACCAGCCTAAGCAACACAGTCAGATCCAGTCTCTACAAGAAATTGTTAAAAATTAGCCAGGTCGGGGGGCATGTGCCTATCTGTAGTTTCCAGCTACTTGGGAGGACGAGGCAGGAGGATCTCTTGAGCCCAGGAGTTTGAGGCTGCAGTGAGCTATGATCATGCCACTGTACTCCAGCCTGTGAAACAAAGCAAGACCTTGTCTCTAAAAGAATAAAAATTTTAAAAAGATGTCATCTTTTGAATGAGCAGCTACACCACGGTGGGTAAGTGCTGGCTGGTCTTATCTCAGCTTCATCACTTCCTAGCTGTGTGATCTTGGGGAAGTTGGTTTCCCTGTCTGGAAAAGGAAAGATATAATACCTGCCCAATGATAAGGATACAACACCTGCCCACTGAGAGGACCAAATGAAATAACGAACACCAAAGTGTCCAACACAGTGCTTTGCACTCAGATGCTTGGTTAAAGTTGGGATGGCAGGAATAGAGGGCAGACTTCTAAAATTCAGATTTCCCTGTGGGAGAAGGGGCTGGAGGCCACTCCTGACTTCAGGGCAAATTGACTCAATGAATCTGCTTTCCTCTCTGTGCTGAGCCTGGCAGCTCTGAGGAATGAGAGTTATCCAGCAGTGGGAAGGAATGAGGGAGCAGGAGCCATGGTTGGAGCTGCAGGGAGGGTGGGCCTGGCCAGAGGCCTCCAGGTGGCACTGTGATGACCCTGGCTACCTGGCAGTGCAGAAAGAGGGCATCCGGAGGTGAAAGGAAGATGTAACAGGAGAGGTACACCCCCGACAGCCTTTCTTTCCAAGTCCTACCTAAAACCAGGCCTGGGGATTCTTGCTAATGCAGGGCTGGGCTTGGCAACACCACAGTTTTCAAGCTGTGCATGGGGAGTAGACAGCACAAAGCCCTGGGAGTGAGCATGCTTCCCTCCCCTTCTCCCCCACCCTGTACAAACCATGCTCAGTGCAGGCACTGGGGCTTCTCCCCAGTCCCCATGCAGACAGACCCTCACTACAGCCAGGGAAGGGGGAGTCTTTGCCCATGCAGACACTTTCTGCAGTCAGGAAGGGGGCATCTTTGAGAGCTATTGATGGCTATGGCTGAACAAGCCTAATGGCAAAGGGCAGAGGGGTGGGTCCCTTCCTGTAACCCCGACACCCAAATACCCTGACAGGTAAACACATGTTCATCTTCGATGCTGTCAGAGTGACTTGAAAATTGTGGGAAGTAGGAAAGCTCTTTTTTAAAGTTTCCTTTCTTGTTAAAGAATAAGTGTGGATCGGACGATCCAAGATGGCCGATCGTTAACATCCCGGGATTGCAGCTCTCAGGGAAGGCGCGGAGAACTAGAGGACGCCACACTTTCAGACAAAGTCTGGTCGCTCATGGAGCAGAAGATCCCCAGTGGAGGAAACACACGGGTCGCCAGCGTGACTCTAGTGGCCGGCGCAGCGGTTTCGCCGGCACCTCAGCGCGGCAGCTCTCGGAGCAGAGTAAACGGGACCGGCTCCCCTTCTGACTGAGGTTTAGAGTCCTGGGAAGGCAGAGTTACCTACTACGGACACAAGAAGGAAGCCAGACAGGAGAATCCTGGGCAGAAAAGCACCACCAGTTTTAACGCTGCTGCTCTGGCCCTGGGAACTAACAACCTGGACGCCCACTCAAGAGACCTAATCTGAAAGTTGGTAAATTCAAAGACGACAGGAGGATAAATTTACAATGACGGGAAGAAACCAGCGTAAAAAAGCTGAGAATACTCAAAGTCAGAACGCCTCTCCCTCTAAAGATGATCACAGTTCCACATCGACAATGAAACAAGGCTTGATGGAGAACGAGCGCCTCCTGATGACAGAATCACTCTTCAAGGAATGGATAATAAGAAACTTCGGTGAGTTAAAAGAACATGTTGTAGCCCAACGTAAAGAAACTAGGAACTTTGAAAAAAGGTTTGATGAAATCCTATTGAGAATAGACAACTTAGAGAGGAGTATGAGTGAATTAATGGAACTGAAGAATACAATACAGGAACTCCGAGAAGTATGCACAGGTTTAAACACTCGAATTGTTCAAGCAGAAGAAGGGATATCAGAGGTCAAAGTCCAACTTAATGAAATAAAACGTGAAGAAAAGATTAGAGAAAAAAGGATAAAAAGGAATGAGCAAAGTCTCCAAGAAATGTGGGACTATGTGAAAAGACCAAATTTACGTTTGATAGGTGTATCTGAATGCCACGGAGAGAATGAATCCAAGCTGGAAAATACCCTTCAGGATATTATTCAGGAAAATTTTCCTAAACTAGCAAAGCAGGTCAACATTCAACCCCAGGTAATACAGAGAACACCACAAAGATATTCCTCAAGAAGAGCAACCCCAAGGCACATAATCGTTAGATTCACCAGGATTGAAACAAAGGAGAAAATACTAAGGGCAGCCAGAGAGAAAGGTCCGGTTACCCACAAAGGCAAGCCTATCAGACTTACAGCAGATCTCTCAGCAGAAACTCTACAAGCCAGAAGAGAGTGGGGACCAATATTCAACATCCTCAAAGAACAGAACCTTCAGCCCAGAATTTCATATCCAGCCAAACTAAACTTCACAACTGAAGGAAAAATAAAATATTTTATGAACAAGCAAGAACTCAGAGATTTTATTACCACCAGGCCTGCTTTACAAGAGCTTCTGAAAGAAGCATTACACACAGAAAGAAACAACCAGTATTAGCCTTTCTAAAAATATACCAAAAAGTAAAGAGCATCAACATAAAGAAGAATTTACATCAATGAATGGATAAAACAGCCAGTTAACATCAAATGGCAGTAACCCTAAATTTAAATCGACTAAATCCCCCAATCAAAAGACACAGCCAAAACCCAACGGCATGTTACATCCAGACCCATTTCACATGCAAGGATACACAAAGACTCAAAACAAAGGGATGGAGAAAGATTTACCAACCAAATGGAGAGCAAAAATAAATAATAAATAAATAAAAAGCAGGAGTTGCAAATCTCGTATTGGATAAAATAGATTTTAAAGCAACAAAGATACAGTGGTAAAAGGATCAATGCAACAGCAAGAGCTAACGATCCTAACACCCAGATACATAAAGACTTAGACTCAATGAGACAGAAAATTAATAAGGATATCAAGGACTCGAACTCAGATCCGGAACAAGTAAACTTAATAAATATTTATAGAGCTCCCCACTTCAAATGCACAAAATATACATTCTTGTCAATACCACATCACACCTACTCATAAGTTTAAATAAAACATTGATTGGCCATTATTAATACCCAATTTTTTTCAGAATAAAGCAATATTTCCGTTTACTCTCCCTCTTTCTCTTCCTCTTTCTTCCTCTCCTTTACTTATTTTTTTTTTTTCTTTCCTTCTCTCAAAAAAAAAAGAAATCAACTTGTAAACCTCTAGATCCAGGTCGGCAATGTCTCTCTCATTGCTTGATTTCCTTCCTTCCCTTCCTCCCTCCCTCCCTCCCTCCTTCCCTCCCTCCCGCCCTCCCCCCTTCTTCCCTTCCTTTTTCATCCCTTCCTTCCGCCCTACCATCCTCCTTCCCTCCCTTCCTGCCTTCCTCCCAAAAAAAAAAGAATAAGTGGGCTAGCCGGGCACGGTGGCTCACGCCTGTAATCCCAGCACTTTGGGAGGCCAAGGCGGGTGTATCACGAGGTCAAGAGATCGAGACCATCCTGGTCAACATGGTGAAACCCCATCTCTACTAAAAATACAAAAAATTAGCTGGACATGGTGGCGTATGCCTGTAATTCCAGCTACTCAGGAGGCTGAGGCAGGAGAATTGCCTGAACCCAGGAGGCGGAGGTTGCGGTGAGCTGAGATTGCACCATTGCACTCCAGGCTGGGTAACAAGAGTGAAACTCCATCTCAAAAAAAAAAAGAAGAAGTGTGCTAATAACTATTTGTTAAGCCTTATCCTATATAGCTGTGAGACATGCCATGCTTACAGGCACGTAATACATTCTATGTCCTTGTACTTTAACCAAGATATCTGTGCTGGATGTGCTCACAGGCATGTCCCAGCTCTCCATTGCTTCTAACTGCTTAGAAAAGTTTTCAGTTGTTAGCCAATTGGGTTTTAGTTTAGCTTGTAAGGTCTGGCTCCAGCCAACAGAGATCAGACACAGCAGTAAGGACGACCCCAAAGGCATAAGGAATACATTTCTCTGTTTTCCTTTGTTCATTGTACCCTCCTGGCACGATGGCTAGCTAGGGTACCCTTCCTGCAGTCCAGGAAGCAAAAATTGTGTGGCTGAAAGATCCTTTGTCTCAGTGCTAATTTTTCTTCACAGCACTGAGCATCTATTTCCAACAAAAATGTTTGACTCTACTTTCTCCTCCTTTCTGGCATTCTCTAGTTTCTCTTCTTCCCACTTGAAAAATTGGATTCTTCCCCTTCTTTCCTCATTATTTTTTGTTTTTAGAGACAGGGTCTCACTCTGTCACCCAGGGTGGACCTCCTGGGCACAAGTGATCCTCCGACCTCAGCCTCCTGAGTAGCTGGGACTACAGATGTGTACCACCACACCCACCTTTTTAATTTTTTGTAGAGACAGGGGTCTCACTATGTTGCCCAGGCTGGGTCTTAAACTCCTGAGCTTAAGTGATCTTCCTGCCTTGGCCTCCCAAAGAGTTGGGATTACATGAATGAACACCTGACCCTTCCCTGTCTTTAAACCTCCCCTATCCATCTCCCATCCACTCTCTAGGTCATACAAATCACCCCAATCTCAGGGCCTCAGTTTCCTTCTCTCTAAAATGATGAAGTCTGTTGGACCAGAGGGCATTGAGACATCCTTCTAGCATTAGAACTCAATGGGAAAGAGTCATGGCTGCATCTTGACCCTGTCCTCTATATAGATGGGAGCACACTGGGCATTCTTATCTGATAGGGGGCACCTCTTCCTGTCTACCCCATTTCCACCTCAATTTGTCTAGAAGTGATCTCTGTGTCTCCTTTATTTCTTTTTCTTCTCTCCTTCACCCAAACCCTAGCCTTGAGCTCATGCTGGTTCTTCCCTCTCCCCCACCCTACTTCCATCTCTTCAGCCTTCCTCATCTTCTCAGTTTTCCCTTGATAAATTTCCCCAACCTTTCATCCTTCTTGTTCCCAGCCTGCCACATCTCCCTCCACACCTGGAACATCACTGTCATCCCCAGGCTCCTCCAGCCTCTGTATCTGGTGACAGGGTTTTGCTGTGTCCCCACCCAAATCTCATCTTGAATTGTAATAATCTCCATGAGTTAAGAGCAGGGTCAGGTGGAGATAACTGAATCACAGGGCGGTTTCCTCCATCCTGTTCTCATGGTAGTGAATAAGTCTCACAAGATCTGATGGTTTTATAAATGGAAGTTCCCCTGCTCAGGCTCTGTCTTGCCAACCACCATGTAAGGTGTGACTTGGCGGCTGGGCGCGGTGGCTCATGCCTGTAATCCCAGCACTTTGGGAGGCCAAGGCCGGTGGATCACGAAGTCAAAAGATCGAAACCATCTTGGTCAACCTGGTGAAACCCCATCTCTACTAAAAATACAAAAAAATTAGCTGAGCATGGTGGCGCGTCCCTGTAATCCCAGCTACTCAGGAGGCTGAGGCAGGAGAATTGCCTGAACCCAGGAGGCAGAGATTGTGGTGAGCCGAGATCACGCCATTGCACTCCAGCCAGGGTAACAAGAGCAAAACTCCATCTCAAAAAAAAAAAAAAAAGATGTGACTTTGCTCCTCATTTGCCTTCAGCCATAATTGTGAGGCCTCCCCAGCCACATGGTGTAAGTCAATTAAACATCTTTCCTTTATAAGTTACCCAGTTTCAGGTATGTCTTTATTAGCAGTATGAGAACAGACTAATACACCTAAGTTCCTTCCTGGGGGGTGCTCATTCTGCTCCCCTAAAATTTTCTAAATCCCACTTCCTTGAAAAGCATAGCTTGGTCCGGTCCACTCCACTCAGCCCTCCCAGCCACTAGCCAGTATCCACTCCCTCATCAAAAATGTACTGTGCACTTACAGGTTGCCCCGTTCCCAACTTAGGCCAATGGTGGGGTTTCAGGGCTGAAAGAAGACAGGAACTCAGAGGCTCTTGGAACTACTGGGGAGAGACACAGAAACACATCATGTGATGCAGTGCTTTCATCTGCACAGCCCAGGGTTACTTTGGGGCCAGGCATACCCCTTATCTGTCCCATTCCCACTGCCCCTTCTACTCCCCAGTGATGAGGACCTTGTCCTCTTGTCCCTGGGCCCTAGGCCAGGGCCCTCCATGCAGCAGCCCTTAGTGGTAGTGCTGAACAATGGTACATCTTCAGATACACAACTTAAGACCCGCACTAATATAGGCCAGACTAAAAGATCATAGATATTTGAATTTAAGAGGGGTTCTGTAAATCCTTTCGTACAGAAGCAGCACTGGAGAGCTGGAGAGAGGGAATGACTGGTGGAGGATTCCACAGCCCATCAGTGCTGGCAGAGGCACTAGAATACTGCATCACTGTCAGGCCAGCCTCACCAGCCACCAATGGCCAGCAGTTCAATTCAGTCATTCCCCAATCTGAAATTCTGTGGATCCAGAGAATGCTTTTTCTTTCTTTCTTTTTTTTTTTTAGTTTAATCATTTTTATTTCAAGTGTATTTTAAAAATCATAAATGGGGTTTCATAATCCAACGTTGAAACATTTATCCTTCATAGCTTCAGAACTTGACAAGGAATTGTAGACCATGCTTTTCAAATCCAGGCTTCTTTGCTATTTTTCAGACTTCTGAGATCTAGTATTAAACTGCTCCATTCTAAACATACGATTTTAGATAACTATTATACACTTGTTGATAAGAATTTTCTGAAAACAGTCTATCAAATATAAAGAATGGTTTCTATCTAAGAATCAGCAGTGAGGGAAGAAATATTAGACACCTATCAAGAAATCAATTATTCATTTAAAAAATAACAGAACCAGTGCTGCTCTCTGTCATAAAAGAGAACACGTAAAATTTATCTGTATAGACTTTGGTAATACTTTATTCCCCACAGAGGCCTTCAATCCTTTTACACACAGTTATCATCAGGACTTAGACTCAGTAGACTCAGTAAAAGTCTCAGGTATTAACCACGGCCTTAAAATGTGCTATTCCAAAGAGAAACAGTTTACTTTTGAGGAAAAAAGCTGCCTTAGTAACCTCCCTCAAATGTTTATTTTAAATAAAAATAGTTGATGGAAATATTTTTAAAACCAACTTTGGGTATAATACGGCATGCTGCCCATCAAACAAAAAAGGAAATCAAAACTTTCTTTCCTTTTAAAATGAGTTCTCCGTCTTTACTTTTAAGATTACAACATATTCACCTTTTATGCTTGTTTGCTTTTTTGACTGCCTAATCCAATATTGAAATTTTTTAAAGTCTATATCTCAATGCAATAAGAGTTATTTTTCAAATAATCTTCATAACCCAGAATACAGAGACACCAGAGCAACACTCTCAAGTCACAAATGGATGAGTGTGTTCAGTTATATACACTGAATTGAACCTTTGGCACTAGGAATCAGAGCATTTTGTCATATAGCATTAACAAAGTCCCCACGCCGGTAATGGTAGAGCTAGAGTTTGAATTCCGATCCCTCCCGCTCTCTATTCCTCCGCCCCGACCCGCCCATAGACGAGGCCGGTACAGTGGGCAGACGCCAGGGCCAGGTTTCCCCACCCTCCACCCGCCAGGGGGCAGCAGATAGAGAGGGCTGAGCCCGTGTCTCCGCAGAGCTGGAGCTCGGCCCAGAGGCCCAGACTCACCGCGCTCTGCGCTGGGGACTCTGGGGCCAACGGAAGCTCCAGGAGTGCGGTCGAGCCTGGAGGGGCAGGCGAGGGTCCCACCGTGTTGTTACTTAGGCATTTTATCTTTGCTCAAATTGTTGAAGAATGGTGGCTTGTTTCATGGTTCTGGTATTTGTGTCTAATGTATGTTTTAACATGATAGATGCAATGCGTTGTGTAGCTAGTTTTCTGGAAAATTCAATCTTTTAGGAATTGTTTTTCAGATCTTCAATAAATATTTTCTTTAAATTTCAAAAAATATATATATATACTATTATATATAACATATATAACACTATATTATTAACCTAACACCCCCATTATAGTAATAGTACAGTGTTAATAGTATTAACCCTATTAATAGTAGCACACTGTGACATTACTAATAGCTATGATATCAATAATATCCAGTGTTAGCATATTGTGTTAACACAGTGTGATATTACTTATATCTGTAACAATATAACACACTGTGTTAATAAACTGTGACATTACTAATATCTATATTAGTAATAAACACTGTTGGCACCCTGTGATATTACTATCTGTAATATTAATGACTTACAGTGTTAGCACACTGTGTTAATACACTGTGGTATTACTAACATCTATGATACTGATAATATCCAGTGTTAGCACACTGTGTTAATACACTGTGGTATTACTAACATCTATGATACCGATAATATCCAGTGTTAGCACACTGTGTTAATACACTGTGGTATTACTAACATCTATGATACCGATAATATCCAGTGTTAGCACACTGTGTTAATACACTGTGGTATTACTAACATCTATGATACCGATAATATCCAGTGTTAGCACACTGTGTTAATACACTGTGGTATTACTAACATCTATGATACCGATAATATCCAGTGTTAGCACACTGTGTTAATACACTGTGGTATTACTAACATCTATGATACCGATAATATCCAGTGTTAGCACACTGTGTTAATACACTGTGGTATTACTAACATCTATGATACCGATAATATCCAGTGTTAGCACACTGTGTTAATACACTGTGGTATTACTAACATCTATGATACCGATAATATCCAGTGTTAGCACACTGTGTTAATACACTGTGGTATTACTAACATCTATGATACCGATAATATCCAGTGTTAGCACACTGTGTTAATACACTGTGGTATTACTAACATCTATGATACCGATAATATCCAGTGTTAGCACACTGTGTTAATACACTGTGGTATTACTAACATCTATGATACCGATAATATCCAGTGTTAGCACACTGTGTTAATACACTGTGGTATTACTAACATCTATGATACCGATAATATCCAGTGTTAGCACACTGTGTTAATACACTGTGGTATTACTAACATCTATGATACCGATAATATCCAGTGTTAGCACACTGTGTTAATACACTGTGGTATTACTAACATCTATGATACCGATAATATCCAGTGTTAGCACACTGTGTTAATACACTGTGGTATTACTAACATCTATGATACTGATAATATCCAGTGTTAGCACACTGTGTTAATACACTGTGGTATTACTAACATCTATGATACTGATAATATCCAGTGTTAGCACACTGTGTTAGCACATTGTGATATTACTAATATCTGTGACAATAATATCCAGTGTTAGCACACCGAGATGTTAATATCTATGATACTAAAAATATCAGTGTTAGCAGCCTGTGATGTGTTAATAATATCTATGATATTAATAAAATCCAGTGTTAGCACCCTGTGACTTGATATCTACAATACTAATGATGTCCAGTGTTTGCACAGTGTAATAATATCTATAATATTCAGTTAGCACACCATATTAATATCTATAATATTAATAATATTCAGTGTTAGCACACTGTTAGCACCTCGTGATATTAATAATTTACATAATAATAATATCCAGTGTTAGCACACTGCTAGCACATTGTGATATTAATAATTTATATAATAATAATATCCAGTGTTTGCACACTGTAATAATATCTATAATATTCAGTTAGCACACCATATTAATATCTATAATATTAATAATATTCAGTGTTAGCACACTGTTAGCACCTCATGATATTAATAATTTACATAATAATAATATCCAGTGTTAGCACACTGTGTAATGCACTGTGATATTAATATCTATTATATTAATAAAATCCAGTGTTAGCACCCTGTGACTTAATAATGTCCAGTGTTTGCACACTGTGATAATATCTATAATATTCAGTTAGCACACCATGATATTAATATCTATAATATTAATAATATTCAGTGTTAGCACACTGTTAGCACCTCATGATATTAATAATTTACATAATAATAATATCCAGTCTTAGCACACTGCTAGCACATTGTGATATTAATAATTTATATAATAATAATATCCAGTGTTAGCACACTGTGTAATGCACTGTGATATTAATATCTATTATATTAATAAAATCCAGTATTAGCATCCTGTGACTTAATAATGTCCAGTGTTTGCACACTGTGATATCTATAATATTCAGTTAGCACACCATGATATTAATATCTATAATATTAATAATATTCAGTGTTAGCACACTGTTAGCACCTCATGATATTAATAATTTACATAATAATAATATCCAGTCTTAGCACACTGCTAGCACATTGTGATATTAATAATTTATATAATAATAATATCCAGTGTTAGCACACTGTGTAATACACTGTGATATTAATATCTATGATATTAATAAAATCCAGTGTTAGCACCCTGTGACTTGATACCTACAATACTAATAATGTCCAGTGTTTGCACACTGTAATAATATCTATAATATTCAGTTAGCACACCATGATATTAATATCTATAATATTAATAATATTCAGTGTTAGCACACTGTGTAATGCACTGATATTAATATCTATGATATTCATAAGATCCAATGTTAGCACACTATGATATTAATATCTATGATATAATGTCCAGTGTTAGTACACTGTGATATTAATATATATGATATTCATAATGTCCAGTGTTAGCACACTGTGACATTAATATCCATGATATTAATAATATCTAGTGTTAGAACACTGTTATATTAACATTATCTATGATATTCATAATATCCAGTATTTGTAGCACACTGTTAACACACCATGATATTATTCATAATATCCATATTACTACTAATGTCCAGTGTAAGCATACTATGATATTATTCCTTATATCCATGATATCCCTACTAATACCCAGTGTTAACATACTGTGTTAACACACTGTGATATTTTCATAATATCCAATGTATTACTACTGATATCCAGGGTGTTAGCACACTGGGTTAATGCCCTCTGATATTATTCATAGTATCCAATATATTACTATTGATATACAGGGTGTTAATACACTGTGTTAACATTGCATTAACCCACTGTATTAACACCCTGTGATAATATTTGTAATAGTATTAACAATATCATCAATATTACTGCTGATATCCAGCATTAGCCCACTGTATTAACACCCTGTGATAGTATTCATAGTATCATCGATATTACTGCTGATATCCAGTGTTAATCCACTATGTTAACACACTAGGATTTATTCATAATATCATTGATATTACTGCTGATATTCAGTGCTAACCAACTGTGTTAACACACTGGGGTAGTATTCATAATATCATCAACATTACTGCTGATATCCAGTGTTAACATACTGGGATAGTATTCCTAATATCATCGATATTACTGCTGATATCCAGTGTTGTTATACTGGGATAGTATTCGTATTATTGATATTACTGCTGATATCCAGTGTTAATATACTGGGATAGTATTCGTATTATTGATATTACTGCTGATATCCAGTGTTAACATACTGGGATAGTATTCCTAATATCATCGATATTACTGCTGATATCCAGTGTTGTTATACTGGGATAGTATTCGTATTATTGATATTACTGCTGATATCCAGTGTTAATATACTGGGATAGTATTCGTATTATTGATATTACTGCTGATATCCAGTGTTAATATACTGGGATAGTATTCGTATTATTGATATTACTGCTGATATCCAGTGTTAACACACTGTGATAGAATTTATAATGTCATCAATATTAGAACTGATATCCAGCATGAATACTCTATGATAGTATTTATTATGTAATCAATATTTCTACTGATATCCAGTGTTAATTGTGTTAACACACTGTGACAGTATTCTCATCATCACTGTTACCACTGATATCCGGTGCTAACACACCGACGGTATGCACGTCATCGCTGTCACCACTGATATCCGGTGCTAACACACCGACGGTATGCACGTCATCGCTGTCACCACTGATATCCGGTGCTAACACACCGACGGTATGCACGTCATCGCTGTCACCACTGATATCCGGTGCTAACACACCGACGGTATGCACGTCATCGCTGTCACCACTGATATCCGGTGCTAACACACCGACGGTATGCACGTCATCGCTGTCACCACTGATATCCGGTGCTAACACACCGACGGTATGCACGTCATCGCTGTCACCACTGATATCCGGTGCTAACACACCGACGGTATGCACGTCATCGCTGTCACCACTGATATCCGGTGCTAACACACCGACGGTATGCACGTCATCGCTGTCACCACTGATATCCGGTGCTAACACACCGACGGTATGCACGTCATCGCTGTCACCACTGATATCCGGTGCTAACACACTGTGATAGTATTCATAATATTATCGATGTTACTACTGATTCCAGTGACAGCACTTTGTGACAGCATTCATAATAACATCGATATTTTACTGATATCCAGTGTTAACACACTGTGATAGTATTAATATCATCGATATTGCTACTGATATACAGTGTTAACACCCTGTGACAGTATTCATATCATCGATATAACCACTGCTATAGTGTTAACACACTGTTTTAGTGTTCATAATATCATCGATATAACCACTGCTATAGTGTTAACACAGTTTTAGTGTTCATAATGTCAATACAACTACTAATATACAGTGTTAACACCCTGTGACAGTATTCATATCATCATTATCACACTGTGATAGTATTCACAGTATCATCGATAATACCACTGATACTCACTGTTAACATGCCCTGTTAACACCCTGTGATAGTATTCATATCGTTGATACAACCACTGCTATAGTGTTAACACACTGTTTTAGTGTTCATAATATCATCGATATAACCACTGCTATAGTGTTAACACACTGTTTTAGTGTTCATAATGTCATCAATACAACTACTGATATATCCAGTGTTAACACCCTGTGACAGTATTCACAATGTCATCATTACTAGTGATGTCCAATGATAACACAGTGTGCTAATACACTGTAAAAATATTGATAATAGCAATATTACTACAGATATCCAGTATCACAGTCATATTGTTCATAACATCATCGATGTGACTCCTAATATCCAGCGTTAACACACAGTGTTAACACACTGTGCTACTGTTCGTAACATCATCAATATACTGCTAACAGCAGGTATTTCACACTGTGATATTAATAATACCCAGCATTTACACACTGTGATATATTCATATCATTGATATCACTACTAATATCCAAAGTTTACACACTACAGTACTTAATGAAATAGCACTGTGATATTTATAACTCGCATTTACACACTGTGTTATTCACAATAACATTGATATCACTACTAATATCCAACGTTTACACACTATGATATTTAATGAAATAGCGCTGTGATATTTATAACTAGTATTTACACACTGTGTTATTCACAATAACATTGATATCACTAGTAATATCCAATGTTTACACACTACGATATTTAATGAAATAGCACTGTGATATTTATAACTAGTATTTACACACTGTGTTATTCACAATAACATTGATATCACTAGTAATATCCAGTGTAAATGGATGAAGCCAATGAACTTACACTCCCGTCAGTGTTTCTGCCTTCCAAGTCAGTTGGAGAAAACAGATTTGCTTCACAAACACTTGCTGACACACATTGTCTGCAATCATGAATCTTGGAAATAAATCATTTCCAATGCTCTTTTTAAAAAAAAAAATTAATTAAATATTAACACATTAAAAATTAGTTAATCATAGTGGTTCATACCTGTCATCCCAACTACATAGGAGGCTGAGGCAGGAGGATCACATAGCCCAGGAGATCGAGGCTGCAGTGTGCTGTGATCAGGCCACTGTACTACAGCCTAGGCAATAGAGTAAGACCCTCTCTCAAAAGGAAATAAAATTTAAAAAAAAATAAAATAATACTTGATTCCCTTCTCCTTGTACATAATTTCAAGGCCTAACCCAGACCTTCTAAGGCATCCTGGGTCAATATCAAGTTCACAATGATCTCTTCTTATGAATTTCAACATTGCTACTGTCCCAACAGCCTTCATAGTTCACTATTCAAACACAACTCTAAACTCTGGGTTCATGGTGTGTAGGGCCTAGGTTTTCTTTCAACTTAGTCTCGGCATCTCCTAAATATTAATCAATAAGTACTTACATTAAAAATTAGCCTGATCACAGAATTCAGAGACTAAATGAAAGAAAATCCCCTAAGCATAAGCCATCTCAAAGTCCATGCTGGGGATTATCTAAACCTTTGCCCCCCCAAATAAAGAATCCAACTTCATTTTCTTTCTTTTTTCTTTTCTTTTTCTTTTTTTGAAGGGGGCTGCAAAGGATAAAGTCGAACTGTGTCACCCAGGCTGGAATTCTGTGACGCAATCTCAGCTCACTGCAATCTCCCCCTAACAGGTTCAAGCAATTGTCCCACCTCACCCTCTCCAAGTAGTTGGGACCACTGGCGTGCGCCATCAGGCCCAACTAATTTTTTTATTTGTAGTAGAGACAGGGTTTCACCATATTGGCCAGGCTGGTCTCGAACTTGACCTCAAGTGATCCACATGCCTCAACCTCCCAAAGTGCTGAGATCACAGGCATGAGCCACCATGCCTGGCCCCAACTTCATTTTCTTTAAATGGCCATACACCTGATAATGGTGGGACAGCAGATTGAAATCCCAATGTTATGACTCATTTAACATCCATTTCTCTTAACAGATGGGTGACCTGTTCATTATATCCACTCTTGGAGTTTATGCCTTGGGTAGAAAAATGTGCCTTTCCTAACAATGAAAAGTGTGAGTAAGACAAGAGTCCACTTTTCTCCTTGTACTTGGCTCATGGAACATACTTGGCTGGGTTCATTCATTTATTCATTCACACAACATTTACCTAGCTTCTCAAAATGCCAGGCGAGTTAACAGGTGCCGGTAGAACAGATCCTCACAATAGAACTATGACAGCACTCCTACAGATTTGCTCCACACTGTGAGAGAAGAAACATTAGCTGCAGGCTTTACTGACATGAGATAGAGCTTCCAGTTAAACAAGAAGAAAAAAAAAGTCATGGCCGGGCACAGTGACTCACACCTGTAATCCTAGCATTTTGGGAGGCCAAGGAGAGAGGATAGCTCGGTATCAGGAGTTTGAGACCAGTCTGGGCAACATAGTGAGACCCTGTCTCTAAAAAATAATAATAATAATTTATTAGCCGGGGATGGTTGTGTGGGCCTGTAATTTCAGCTACTTAGGAGGCTGAGGTGAAAGGATCACCTGAGCCCACGAGGTCGAGGCTGCAGTGAGTTATGACCGTGCCGTTGCATGCCAACCTGAGCAACAGAGGGAGCCACTGTCTCAACAAAATAATAAGAGAGAGAGAGAAAGGGAAGGAAGAAAAGGAGGGAGGGAAAAAAGTCACTAGTCTTGCACCAGAACGCTTTTAAGTGTGAGACTAATCTTGACCCTCTGAGAGCATGGTCGGAAAGACAAATGAACTCTAAATTTTGTCTAAGCCACGAAGATCAGCCGGCTAGGTCAGCTCCTCCCCGCTTGCTCTCCGAAGCCCCTGCCCTGGGGACAGACAAATGGAGTCTGGGGACCTCTCCATGGGCTGGATCCAATCTCCGATGCTGCTGCAGGGCCAACAGCTCGACACATTCGCAGCACCATACAAGAGACGGGCAGTCACTTCAGGAAAGGGAGAGAGGAGAGGGCAAGTACAAGGGCAATGGTAGGCAGAGCTTTCCAAGAAAGGTGCCCAACCGAGGAGAAGGCGTTAGAAGCTGCGTTCTTTCTCCGGGAGGGGATGGGCGAAAGCAAAGACCCCTGACTGTGACCTCAAGAACGCTGCCGGGCCCTTAGAAATCCGCAGCAGACCCCGCCCCTGCGACCTGGACGTGGATCCAGGAGACCCACAAGCTGGGCCCCGCCGCCAACCTTGTTTCCAACGGCTACCGCGCGGACCCTTCCTCCGTTCTCCGCACCGGGGCGCCCAGCTCCTCCACCCACCCTAGGGGATGCCTGGGAACCGCGAGGTCCACTGCGCGCACTTCGGAGTCACTTCTGGGAGGCTCGGAGGCCTCATCTTGATCGCGGGCCCACCAGGAGCCGCCCCGGTACAGAGCAGGATAGGATGGGGGAGCCCCAAGGGAAGACTGCAGGAAGATGGAACGGGATTTCTTCACCTGCCCTTCATCGCCTAAGTGGGCCTAGACTCTAACTGGCTGTCCATTCTACGTCATCGCCACGGTCCCCATGTGCACCCCATTTGTCCTCCCCTCTTCCTGCCCTGTGTGGCCTCCCCCTATTCCACCTCCCTTCATGACCGTTGGCCGGGTTGACCCTGCGGGGCCGGCGGCCAGCCTGTCTTACTCTCCCTGTGTGCACCCACGCCTCCCAGCTCGGCCTGGAGCATATATTAGGTTGGCGCAAAAGTAATTGCGGTTTTGCAATACTTTTAAGGCAAAAACCGAAATTACTTTTGCACCGCCCATAAATAAGCACATGGAACCTGCAAGAAAAGCCTTAGAGAAGGGGCCAAGATCCGACCGCCTAGCCCACCAGGAGTATGCGTTTGTCAGAGGCATATTGAAGCAGGAAAAGAAAATAAAAAAAGATTAAGGAGACAAATTGATCATGATAAGAGGTTTCCTGATAAACTCAGAAACAGCAACTTCCAATTATGGAGCACTTAACCTGACACTATCTCATTCATCCTCACAACAGTCCTGTGCAAGTGGTGGCTGTTTCTTTTTACCATCTTACATGCCAGAGCTGCAGCTGGTATGCAACAAAGGCAGCATCTGCACCCTAGCCTGCTCATACCAGAGTGGGGACATCTAACTGCACCCCTAAAGGACAATGGAAGAAGACTGTGTCATTTGTAATATGAGCAAATGATGAAAAGACAAAACAAATGCTTGTATTATGCCCAAGTTGTAAATTTATAAACATGAATGAAATACACATACAAGAGGCTAGTCGTTTTCTTTTTCTTTTTTTTTTTTTTTTTGAAGACAGTCTCGCTCTGTACCCCAGGGTGGAGTGCAGTGGTGCAATCTCAACTCACTGCAACTTCCTGCAACCTCTGCCTCTCAGGTTCTAGGCGATTCTCCTGGCTCAGCCTCTGGAATAGCTGGGATTGCAGTTGCACACCAGCATACCGGCTAATTTTGTATTTTTAGTAGAGACAGGGTTTCACCACATTGGCCAGGCTGGTCTTGAACTGACATGAGGTGATCCACCTGCCTTGGCCTCCCAAAGCGCTGGGATTACAGGCGTGAGCCACCACGCCCGGCCATGGCTAACCACTTTCTAAAATCAAAGAGAGTAAATGGGAAGTGTCCACGAAATAAATTTTTAAATTTATGTAGTTTCTTGATTTGTAAAGCATGCCATTTGATTGAAATCATGCTTACACTCTTGGATTAAAACAATGTTTCCTTCACACATTTGTACTTTGAAGGGAGTATAAAATGTGATTCCCTCACACCTGTAATCCCAGCACTTTGGGAGGCCAAGATGGGTGGATCACCTGAGGTCAGGAGTTTGAGACCAGCCTGGCCAACATGGTAAAACTGTCTCTACAAAAAAATACACAAATTAGTCAGGTGTGATGGCAGTGGCCTGTAGTCCCAGCTACTCAAGAGGCTGAGGCAGGAGAATCACTTGAACCTGGGAGGCAGATGTTGCACGTGGCCAAGATTGCATCATTGCACTCCACCCTGGGTTACAGAGCAAGAATCTGTCTTTAAAAAAAAAAAAAAAAAAAAGTGGCTGGGCACGGTGGCTCACACCTGAATTCCTAGCACTTTGGGAGGCCGAGGTGGGTGGATCACCTGAGGTCAGGAGTTCGAGACCAGCCTGTCCAATACGGTGAAACCCCATTTCTATCAAAAAATACAAAAATTAGCTGGCCATGGTGGTGCATGCCTGTAGTCCCAGCTACTTGGGAGGCTGAGACAAGAGAATCACTTGAACCTGGGAGGCGGAGGTTGCAGTGAGCCAATATCATGGTGCCACTGCACTCCAGCCTGGGTGACAGAGTGAGGCTCTGTCTTAAAAAAAAAAAAAAAAAACTTAGGATACTCTCCTAGAATTCCAGAGAGCTCTGTGAGCATTTGAGATCAGCTGCAAACTAGTAACAATGAGTCATCAGCGATATACTAGGGAATGAAGAGCTATCAAACTTCTCTGGGTTTTGAGATCTGTGTAATACCAGCATTGCTTTGGGGTATGTTTTTGTTTTAGTCTCACTGTGTCACTCAGGCTGGGGTCCAGTGGCACAATCTCAGCTCACTGAAACCTCTGCCTCCCAGAATCAAGCCATTCTTGTGTCTGTCTCCCAGGTTGCTGGAATTATAGGCGTGCACCACAACACCCAGCTAATTTTTTATTATTAGTAGACAGGGTTTCATGTTGACCAGGCTGGTCTCAAACTCCTGACCTCAAGTGATCTGCCCACCTCACCCACCCAAAGTGTTGGGATTACAGGCGTGAGCCACTGCACCTGGCCTGGGGTATGTTTATTAAAATATTCCTCTGTAAAATGAAGTTAGCTGCTTTGCAGAATAAAGTTTGGATATGTACAAACATACATGTGTGTAAGTAAAAAGAAGATAAAGGGGCCCTCTACTATTGTATTTCTCCTCTTCCACTTCATGACCAAAATTACTCAGAACACAAACTTATGTATCAGGCCAATTAAATATCTGCTTTAAAAAATTGCCCTGAAGGATGATTTTGATTTCACTTTTTTTTTTTTTTTGAGACTAAGTTTCGCTGTTGTTACCCAGACTGGAGTGCAATGGCACAATCTCGGCTCACCACAACCTCCGCCTCCTGGGTTCAAGCAATTCTCCTGCCTCAGCCTCCCGAGTAGCTGGGACTACAGGCACACACCACCATGCCCAGCTAATTTTTGTATTTTTAGTAGAGACGGGGTTTCACCTTGTTGACCAGGATGGTCTCGATCTCTTGACCTCATGATCCACCTGCCTCAGCCTCCCAAAGTGCTGGGATTATAGGCGTGAGCCACCGCGCCCGGCCGATTTCACATTTTTTAAAGTGTTTTACTTATTTTAAAAATATGGCCAGGCATGGCAGCTCAATCACCTGAGGTCAGGAGTTTGAGACCAGATTGGCCAACACAGTAAAACCCTGTCTCTACTAATAACACAAACTTTAGCCAGGTGAGGTGGCGGGTGCCTGTAGTCTTAGCTATTTGGGAGGTTGGTGCAGGAAAATCGCTTGAACCCAGGAGGCGGAGGGTGCAGCAAGGCAAGATTGTGCCACTGCACTCCAGCCTGGGTGACAGAGCAAAACTCTTTCTCAAAAAAAAAAAGTTATTCCTAGTTCTACTGAAACCTCAAACTATTTTTATTTTATATACCAACAACTTCCCAATCAAATAGCCCTTTAAGTCCCAAACATTCAGCTTCTGTTCCAGAGGTCTGTGGGAAAGCTAGCTTTGTATCAATGCAAAGGAAAGTGATCCACTCTTGCTGTGAAGCAAGTTTCAGGGAGGAAAGGAGTTGCATCCAGAAAGGTGATTCCAACATTCCCAAATGCTTCTGGCTGAGACCTTCAGATTTTGCTTGAAACAAATTCTCGGAATAACAAACACACCTTTATTCAAGTGGAAGTACAAAAGCACATTCCTAAACCAAATGCATACATGTGATTTTTACATATTCTGCTTTTTAGGGATTACATAATCCTGTTTCAGTCACCACAGGTGACTACTGGTCTCTTATACATAAGGGTATCCATGTTTGATGGGAAAAAAACACATGCATTTTTCATTTGCTTTTACATTTAGATGAATTCATTTATATACCAATTTCATTTAGATTCCTACCTTGCCTTGATGAGATCCTATTCTTGCTGATGGCAAAGAAGTAAAATATAGTGGCAGAACTACCCTAGAGGTTAGCCATAGGAGGATTATAGAGCAATATATTTTTATACATTTGTTGAGGGTCCCTAGCAAATATTATAACATCTGAACTATGAAAGCCTCAATTGCAAGTTGACAACTAGAATTTTAAATAACACTTGTCTTATTCACAAAATGTTATAAAGCTTAAGATGGAAAAATATAAAATGCTCTGACATTACCTAAAGAATCATGAACTCTTGTTAGGTATATGATGGTGGCCCTGAACTTGAGCCAACATCTGTAATCACTTTTATCAATCAAAAAAAGCCATGTTCTTTTATATAGCCTATAGACTATTAAAATACAAAAATGTGATAATGAATAAACAACTATACACAAAGCCCCCACACTTCAAATACTGTCCTGATGAGGAAAGAATACTGGTGGGGGGGGCACAAAATTCAAACATTTATCTGCAATCCTCATAGTTAAAAACCAGGAACAGACCTGCCACTCTCTTAAAATATTGTCTCTGAGATTAACATAAGAACAGCATCATCTGTAGGAAGGCTACATCCCCTTATGATGCTTTGTGTTTTCTTTTCTTTTTTTTTTTTTTTTTTGAGACAGTCTCGCTCTGTCACCCGGGCTGAAATGCAGTTGCACAATCTTGGCTCACTGCAACCTCCACCTCCTGGATTCAAGCGATTCTCCTGCCTCAGCCTCCTGAGTAGCTGGGACTACAGGCGCATGCCACCACACCCGGCTAATTTCTGTATTTTTAGTAGAGGGGTTTCACCATGTTGGCCAGGATGGCCTCGATCTCCTGATCATGATCCACCAGCCTCAGCCTTCCTAAGTGCTGGGATTACAGGCATGAGCCACCACCCCCAGCCTGTGTACGTTCTTTATCTTTACTCTACCAAAAGCAGACCTGAGCATTTTGCTGGCCTTAGAGGTATATAAAAGAACTCTAGGCTTAGGCATGCAGAATAGGCACTGAATGAATGTAGCGAGGCTACCAGGAGTCTTGTTGACTCCCTGATGTCATCATCTCTCTTTGCAGGCTGTGGATGCACACAAGGCAGCGAAAACCTTGGGCATCATTTGAAAATGTTTGGCTGCCTGCTACAGTCTCAGGAGAGAGAATCTTTCATACTTATATTGGACTGGATATATTTTAAATCTAATTCTGTTTTTGAAAAGATGCTTCACTTTAGGAAATAAGACACCAGACCAGCAACATCAAGCAGGTATGGAATACTTGCTGGTCAAACACTTAAAACTAGGAAACTTCTAAATCTTCTAAAGGTGCTTAAGAGAATGCAGAAATCAGTCAATAGGAATCCAAGTGCTGTGGCTGTAAAGCAATACGATAGGGTCCCTAGTAAAGAGCAGGCCTAAGAATCAGTTTTGGAGAGAACTTGGGCCAAAAACAGCAGAAAAAGCTAAATGAGCTACATACATCGATGTGTTTTAATACTGGTGCATTAGCAATATCTTACCAAAGTTGAGAACATTAAGAACCAATTTCAAGAAAAATAAAAATGTTTATAGGACATATTAAAATAAAAACCGTTTAAATGAGTTCTATAAATAAAATAGGATGGGCACAGTGACTCATGCCTATAACCCCAGCACTTTGGGAGGACAAGGTGGAAGGATCACTTGAGGCCAGGAGTTCAAGATCAGCCTGGGCAACAAAGTGAGACCCCAATCTCTGTTCTTTTTAGTATCAAAATTATTATAATAAAAAAAGTAAAAATAAACGTACCTACTTAAAACACATTAAATAAAGGAATGCCATGAGAAAATGGCACTGCGTTTACCAAGTCACCCCTAGATTCTTGTGCAAAGCAAAAGATTGAGACTATGTATTAACAATTTCATAAACAAATAATCAATTTCACTCCATTATTTTGATGTTGGGTAAAGCCTGAAATGTGGTGTCAAGTTTTTCCATTTGCATTACATCAAATTCTTGTCTACTATGGATATTCTGGTATGACAAATACCAAACTCCTATTGAAACATCTGCCATTTACTACACTCACATAATGTCTCTTAGGTATAGATTCTTTGAT